AAAGTATGGAACTGGATAGACGTGCCACGTGGCATACAACCATTGGCCACTTACATGCAGGGGGTATTGTTTGAGCCTAAAATGAAACGTCGATTGACAAAAGCTCAAAGAAACAAAAGAGGAAAAATCAAGCCTAATAAGCCACCATTTAAGACAAGGCTCGGTCTACTTCAAGATAAGCTTCTGAACTAAGCACGTGCTAAGTTAGTGGGAGTAAACCTTGAGACTTGGAACAAGTAAGCATGGAAGAACATTATTTGGACACAAAGCTATTATATCAACGTGCCCCAAATCTTGTAAGATCGTGCCAGACTAAGTAAGCACTAAGTCATAGAGGAAATGTAACCTTAAGACTTAGAGTGACTAAGCTCGTAAAATCATTATTTGTATGTGCCCTGAATCTCGTGAGACCATGCCATGTTAGCAGATATTTCGGCATACAAGCTTCAGACATTACGATACTAGCAAACTCAAACCAACATTATGATAGAGCTTTAAAGAAGAAAGAAGGCAACAACGAACAATGAACAACTCACTCAAACAAGTCATTACTTGGATTATCTTTTATTTTTACTTTGAATTTAGTCTTATTTCAATTTCTTGTAGTTCTATAGCTTAGTTTGAATAATCAAATTGCCTTTTTTTTTTTAATTATCCTTGTATCTTCACATCGGGTGAATAAAAATAAGGGAACCTAATGACCTTTTATTCACATTTGAAACTTTGCACTTTTGGCACACCTAGTAATCATTCCAAACCATGAACAATAAGATATGTATTAAATTTTATGGATAAATTTTTCATTTACTTAAGAATTAATGACTTTTTTCATTTTAATATTACTTTCTTTCATAGTCAAGTATGAAGATTTTTCTTATGGAAAAAATATGAATATTTTATATATTTTAATTAAATTGTGTTATTTTAATTATTACTGATTAATCTCGAGTTAACTTTTGATTAAATCACTAATCCTTAAACTAGAGCCTCAACTGGTTTAATAACTTATTGGAGAAGTTTCAGTACCTTGATTATTGGAGAAGTCTCTGAACATGTAGAAGTAGAGTTTCCCGTGGGATTTTGCCATACCAGGTAGGCACCACCTGGGGAAGTTAAATTCATGCTACTTTAATAAATAATAATTTACTGCTTTTTCTATGACGGAATAATATGTTATATATAAAACTAACCATTGGTCAATGAGATATATGTACACACATAATTTAAAACTCAATAATCTAGCGACTATATGTTGTTAGATCTTATATAATCACAGAATTGCATGCTGAATCAATAAATAAATGGATAAAATTTAAAATGGAAGGGGAAAAAAGTCCTGAATATCTGCGATAACACATTAAAAATAACGATTTGTTGTATATATTTTAGTCACACGACAACTTTTCCATATTATTATTCAGAAAATTATATCAGGTCAGATTTAGCATAACGTGGCAAGAAAAAAAGCAAAAACTTGAAAGTTCAGACACGAAAAATATTAAGAAAAATCATATCATTGAATGGGTGATGACACTAATGCCATATTTATGTTGGGACCAATAGTATTCTTTATTGACATCAAAGATTAATTCACTTGACACACGAGAAATTAAAAAAAAAAAGACTCTTCCCATCTAGATTTATTTCATAATAATACAAGAAAAATCAAACCCAAAATTTCAATTTCAATTAATAGTAATAGTAATGTTACTTGTGGAGCGGTTGTTGAATTTTGTGTTTGAAAATCAAACCAGGTTGTTGTTGGGAATAAGGTGTAAAGATGTGTGAATTGTGAATTTTAAGATTGCAGTATAAATTAATTAAAGAGGGATATTAATTGGTTTGTTGACTGAGCATCTGAATTGAATTGGGACCACCATAGGAACATGATACATGGTAAGGATATAGCGATGACCATATGTGGTCAAAGAGAAAACAAAGCATGAGCGGCGTGTCGTTTTGCCGTGGTATGGTCAAAGTTTGTGATATGCATACAAAATTAGAGCCGCATGGTCATTTTGACATTGGCTTCCCCTACTCATCATGGCTTTTCTCAAACCTATGCCATGGCTTTGGTTGTGCTATGTTTTCTCCATCATGTCTTATAATAAGATTAAAATATGTTGAAACCAACGAATGAATTTGTAGAAATTTAATATACAATTAAAAAATATATTTAATTAATAGGAATAAAAATGGAAAACGGAATTCTCATTTACTTAATCGAATACTTGGCACGTGATTATAAATTGTAATTATAAAATTAAAATAGAATTAATTATATCAGTCGATCATGAGTTACAATAAAAAAAGATTAAATCGCATAAAATAGAATATAAATTCTTTGAGAGTACGTAAGATGCTAAATACCATATTAATAATAAGAAATGATATTAAAAAATTAAATTTCCATCATATATAGGTTTGGTAGCGAATCAAAAATCCGTTTTTTAAGTAATTGAATAGAGCTCTCCATTCCAATAAAACATATACAAAGCTATGTGATTAACCGCCCATGATGTTTATGTACCCACGATCATAAATAGTTAAAATTTTATTGTTGTAAAAATAGATATATTTTAACTAGTTTTTCCACTAACTAATTTTTTGTCAGTCATTATGAAAAAGTATTTAGATTTTTGTCTTCATCCATGCAAAAGTTATTCTCACCAACTGATTTGATAGAAAAATATAATAAAACAAATAGTTGGCATGATTTGCTTATTCCACTTGGAAAGAAATGTGAAATGCATATGGCACAGTAATAAAATGAACTGCTTTGTACTCGCATTATATACACACACAATCTCGAATAACTATATTAAGGATGTGGCTGATTTCATCGTACATATAATATTATATATATATATATATATATATTTTAAGAAAATTTGATGATGATCAAACCCCTTTAATTTCAGTATGGATAAGACTCAAAAGAATATAAGAAATGTATAAAGGATTGAATGATCTTTGAAACTCATTAGTTTTGTAAGATGACATGAGTAAGAGAGTTACTTGAAGTAAGAAAGTTTTTGAGAAATTATTTTGAAAATTATAAACATTCCATTCAGTATTTGCACAGCATGGCAACTGAGAATGGTGGCTAGACCTTTTTTTCCATTATTCTTTGACCATCCTTTAGAAAACAATAGCAATCTGAATTCCACTGGACAATAAATGTTCTTTAATTTGTATATATTGTTGAAATCCTCACAAGGTGTCTTTAGTTTCAGTCGATTCTGCTCTAGAATTCCCTGCACTTAAAGTATGACTTCCAAATATAAGAAATTTGAGTTGCATATAGACATCTAATATTTCACTTGTGAATATTATTTTAATAAAAATATTTTTAAAAAATTAGTCGGTTAATTGTTGCTGCCTACTATCGAATGACTATCAGTTGTCAATCAACGTTAGTCAAAGAGGGTGAGTTCAAGAGCATTTAAATCTTTTTACAAATACAATTAAGTCCCATGATACTTGAAAATATTTTCACAAATTTATGAGACTTACTTATAAATAAGTTTTTTTTTATGTAAGACTTTTATACATAATATTTTTAAAAGTTTAATTGAGTTGGATATTGAAAATTAATCAAGGCTTCAAGTTTTTTTTTTGGCCAAACAATGCTTCAAGTTCAAAGAATATTTAAAACAATACTTTGAAATTTCCGCTAACAATGTCTTCATATCAATAATGAAACTTTGAACCTACAACCTTGTGGGTTAAAGGAAACAAATCTTCCCCAACCAAACTATTAAATTGCATTTCTATTCATATTGAAAATTACAAATTACACCACACAATTAGTTTAATGCTTGCAAAATTGTGAGTGCATAACTTGGTTTTGATTTCCAAAAGCAGACCACATTAAGACTAAATATTGGAGGGGGGGGGGGAGAGTAATATGAGCATGTGATATATTAGGCTTTTTCTTTCATCAACCGTTTATGAATCGGTTTGATCTTAGTAAATTTTATTTTCAAGATCTTTAATTTGTTACAAATATTCAGTATACTTTTCCCTTTCAAATAATTATGTAAGAGCATAAACAAATTTAATGATAATGGAATTTTTTTAACCCAAGGCTCATATATGTTGGCAGAAAAACACAAGGTTCATACAAGATTAAACAGCAATAGATTTTAATCTATCTACCTTAAAAAAGTATAAGACATTTTTAATCAAATCTCACACTTTAATTTTCAAAAAATATAAAATGATTCATTTATTAAGGGTATTTTTTGAAAAAAAATCATTAATTGTACCTTAAAACACAAAAAATATCTTATCTTTTTTAACATCTAAGCCTAAAAAATGCCTTGTATTTTTTAATGGAGGAGTATACTACATGGGACAAAAATTGATTGTTCTTTCCCCCTTTTTTTTTTCCTTTTATGACCTAGCAACACTTCTAGATGCGTATTAATTAGTTATAAAGTTCAAACTCATATGTTAAGCTGATTGGCCAAGTGAAAATAAATAAATAAACTCATTTGCTGAGCTTGGATGTCACCTACGTGCACGAATCTCATTTAATTTTGTATCAAGCCTGTTTAATTTAATAACTAAATAAACAAGGGACTAATTAAGTTAAATTAATATGCGCTCTTGTCTGTTTCCTTTCTCGCTAATGATCTTTTCATTGGTTGAACGTTGACTGGTCACATTATATGAACCCCAAAAAAAAAAGAAAAGAAAAGAAAAATTTGCCTGGGAAGTTCGTGCCCTTGTTTAACTCCTTTATTACGGTCAAAGTTCAAACCTAATCGATTTGAGCCTAATTGTCACTGTCAGCTTCCAAACAAGAGAAGAAAAGTATTTGTACAGATAAGCTATGCCAAGACCAAAAGAAAAAAGAAGAGTTCCAACATCGTGAGTGAATGCTGATTTTTTGGGGTCTTAGATGGTGTACTTTAAATTAAACAATAGAACAAGTCCAAACCAATCCTTTTCGACATGAATAATCCACACACTATAAGAGAAGCTTCTCTCATTTGTTGAAATTATCGCTAGCCAAGACTTTGTTCTTCAGCGCAAGAAAAGACTAAAGCAAACACAGATCAGAAACATACGAGAGACATGGGTGATCATATGGAAGATTTGAGAAGCACAGAAGAGTATCTGGACGATGAAGTTGAACTTCCAGGGTTTCGATTCCATCCCACAGATGAGGAACTCGTGAGATTCTACCTCAGAAGGAAGCTTGACAAGAAACCCATCAGTATCGAACTCATCAAGCAGATCGACATTTACAAATACGACCCTTGGGATCTTCCAAGTATGTTTCCACATATTTTCCTCTTGATTTCACTCTCTTTCAATTATTTTAACAGGGAAACATAAAGAAGAAGGAACTTACATCGACAGAGGGTTTTCTCTGATAGAGTTGATGTATAGGGGGGAAAAAAAACCAAACCATAAACTAAGTTAACGTTCTGAGTTATATAGTGATGAGCTTCATACGATGATTAATTAGTTTGTTTATGAATGCAGAAGCTAGCTGGACGGGAGGAGAGAAGGAGTGGTACTTCTATTGCAGAAGAGGAAGGAAGTACAAGAACAGTGTGAGGCCGAATAGAGTGACAGGATCAGGGTTCTGGAAAGCAACAGGGATAGACAAGCCTGTGTATTCTCTCGGAGGGGAAGGCCATGACTGTATTGGCCTCAAGAAAACCCTCGTCTACTATCGTGGCTCTGCTGGCAAAGGCACCAAAACTGACTGGATGATGCATGAGTTTCGTCTTCCCTCAAACATTGACCCCACTAATATCAATGCCCAAGAAGCTGTAAGAATTGTTCTTCCACTTCAAACATCCAATTATACACACACACACACACCCCTTTGCCAGCAAAGACAAGAAGTGACACTATCGTACGTATATATATTCAGCTTTCTCTTCTTGATCTGTTTGTGTTCCAGGAAATTTGGACGCTCTGTAGAATTTTCAGAAGAGCTTCGACGCAGAGAAAGTGCACGCCAGATTGGACACACATGGTTGCGAAGCGTCGTTCCAGTGACAAGATCAATAGAAGATCGATGAGCATTAATAATAGCGGTGTGGAGTCTTGTAATAGTACTGTTACTTATGATCAAGAAGCGTATATCAACTTTGGAGGCAGCCCGGAGCAGAAACCTGTTGTTCATAATAACTACACGAGCAATCCTCATTATTATAATGATCAAAGGAATCATCACGTGAGCCATTTCAGCACTTCAGTATCAGCAGTGATGACACAGCAGCCTCATCCTCATCAGCAATTAACTACGTCGTCGTCACCATCATCAGCTCTGAACTTCTGGCAGGCTTCCAATGACCTGCTTAAATTTGAGAACTCATGGAATGAGCTTGAATCAGTCGTGCAATTTTGCTCTTGATTGACCTTCATTCAGAACTTCATTATTCTCTTTAATAAGATGCTAGTTAGGAGGTAGTTTTAGTTGAATATCGTTGCACGATTGTATTTAGACATGTTAAATACATAGGAGAGAGTGGATTTGAGTCGAGGAGAGAGTTATACTGTTAAACATGTAATTTGACAGGACGCTTTATTGACTTGATATGAACGTGTTGCTTTGTTGGTTTCTCATTATCTCTTCTAGAACTGAGCAAGTTTAGTGATTCGATTTAATTTTTATCCGCTGCTTATACTCTGGATCATACATTTGTGCTCGACTAGAACAGAGAGACAAAATTTGCGATGAAAATGAAAACAATCCGTCCCACATTGATTTGGGATTGCGATAGATTTTTCAATTCCATCACAAATTCTTTATTTTGTCCAACTTTTTTAATTTGAAACAGAACCATATTTTTTGGGATTTATCTTAGCATATTTGAGTGATCAAAATATATAATTATAATCCGATGGTATAATTATGCCTCACACCCACATAAACCCATATATATTGTCAACGAATTCTTGTGATAATGTAAAACAAAATTAACCCCTTTAATTTTTATAAAAAAAATTAAAATTTCAAACGAGACCATTTAACATTATATCTATTTTTGCCCGTGAAAATTAACTTCATGTTCATTTGTAATAATATAGTTTATGGAAATTTTTTTAATGATAAAGAGGAAATATAAAACGAAACAGAAACAAAAAGAAAAGAAACAAACCGAAATTAGATGAAGCCACACCATATTCTCTCTTCAGCAATTTCTGGCATTCCTCAATAAGAACTAAGAGAGATCATCAAGAATTTGCATTTAATTAGTTGAGCATATTTCTGGAAAGATGGGGTAATTTCAACATAACTGACTAGTTCTAATTAATTAAGGTTAAATGGCTAATTGGTACTTACATTTAAGACTCTAAACTCATTTTTTTTTTTTGGTAATGTTTCACTTCAACATTTTAAAATAGTATAATTTGGCCTATATTGTTAATAAATCTTAACTTTAACAGTTAATTGATGAAAAAAATTACAAAAAAAGAATTCAAAAATTACAAAAAAGGACTAATAAAAATTTTTTGTTTCTTTTTTGTTAATTTTTTGTTCATTGTCTGTAATTTGAATCATTAATTTTTATATTTTTCTATCATTTTTTGGTCAACCAATGATTAACATTAACTTTTGTTAATGGTAAGGACGGCATTATGTATTGTTTCCAAAAATTAAAAAGGAACATTATACCAAAAATGAGTTTAGGGTCCCAAATAATCCTAAATTATATTTTAGGGGCCAATTTGACATTTAGCCCATATAATTAACTAATTTTCTTGACTTATATAAATTAGTTAAATGTGATCTATATTGGAAATAATTTTAAAATAGGGTTAAGAGTTATTTTTGCCCTTCAATTTTACCCAAAAGATTACTAGGTACTATAAATTTAATTATAGATCAATTATGTCCCTCAATGTTAGAATTTTGTGCCTCAGTACCCTTAACATTAATTATCCTCAATAGGCCCTACATTTTGTTGAGTTGGCTTTTTTTTTATTATTTTTAATAATAAAAAATGACGGTAGGACCTACTTCAATTTTTTTATTATATATTTTCCACATCTCACCTCCTCTCTCTCCTCCCTACCCTCTCGCCATCTACCTTGCCTCTCTAATCTCATCTCCCAAGCTCCATCATCCTCCCTTTAGAATCTATTTACACAAACATCTCGAGCTCAATATTATACACTCATCCTCATTTGGTTGAAAACTCCTCCCATATGATACTCATCCCCATTTGGTTGGAAACTATTGACCCTTCTCTCTCAAACCTCTTAAGCTCTTTATCTTGTTGACCACCCATTCAACCCTCCATCAACAACCTTTAGAAGACCTATGTGTTGCTTCGACAAACTCGTGTACTCAGGCTTCCCAAGACTCACAGTCTCTCTATTCCCCTCTCATACACATAATTAATGAAGTCTCATCAACCTAAGGCTTATAAATAAGAAGGTTCTTACCAAAACAAAACATTTCTCCATTAATGTTGTTATTAAAAGCTTGATAACAGGTAATAAAATAGTGAATGAGTGGCATTCCCAGTGAGCATGAAGGCGTAGTATTGTCTAATTGAGGTGATCTAAGAGTCTATGAAAAGCTTTCTCCGAGTTTTAGCCAATGACACTTGTTTCACATTCAAATTATTTCTTAATAAAAATTTTGACACTCATTTCTAAACTCATTCCTTTTACAATAAAAACATAAATTGGGTGGCTAATTTACAATCAAAGTGCCAAAAGCCTATCCTTAACCTTAGACCATACTCAATAGACTAAGGGACACTTATACAATACACCATAGCATATACATCCCACATATATGATAATTTCAATGCTTAACCCCCTTAATATCAAAAATAGAAAAGGGTATCAATTGCATAAAGCATCATATAAATCATCATCATCATCCACTAATTTACTCATTCCTACTTGTATTAGTAATTTAACCTTTTCTAGATATTGCATTTAACACACAATCAACTTAGGGCTCAAAACACACATATCAGCTCAAGTATCAAATAGTGTAAGTAGATCAAAGCATGTATTTTCTTACTTGTCAATATCATACTAAATTATACACATAAATTCTCAAAATAAACAAGGCCTACAAAGTTAGGATAATAATCTTAAGCCTTAGGCTATTTCTCTTGATTTTATCCCGATGAGCTAGCACCTGTAATATTAAAGAGAGGGGAAAGAGTACAACGACTCAATAACCAATATATATCTAACTTATACTAATACATATCAATTAATTAAAATGCAAGTGGCATACTATTTTCGCACACACATTAACTTATCATTCATAAGAATTTATTTCATATTTCACATTACTAATCACATGGATTCATATAATTTTATCACAAATATCACAATACAGACAACCATGTGCTTTTTTTAAATATATGCATGATCACTATCTCCTTTATATCAATCTTATACCCCTAACATGAAACCATATACTATCACAAAATGGGCTTGTCCATATGATGAGACTACCTTAGCCTTTCACACATGACAAGCTACCCAGCCAAGGTTACTTAACTTACTTGTAATTTATGCTTTTCCCTAAATCTCATATTATGGGGTGTCGTTCTTCCTAAACTAGCCTCCTCGTCGAATGAGTAGAAACTAGATTATATTCATGTCCATTTAAAAACCATGAGACAGTTCCCCATCAAATAAGTAAGATAAATAATATAAATATATCAAGGCAAGCTATCGAGCTCCGAATGGCAGCCATACCACATAAATTTTAACATGTTACTTCTCTTCTTAAGTGAATTCCCACCTCATATGATTATGTAATGCACAAATGCAATATTTCATTGCATGCATAAATGTCCATAATATAGGCATGCTTAACATCATCATTGTTGTTGCACCTGAAAAAAATACGATGCGGACGGCGCGTGAGCGGAGATCCCGACCTTCGCGGTGGGAACCGGATCGAACGAGGAGTCGCTATCGAGATTTTAAGGTAAATCTCAGGAAACCGATTAATGAAAGGTAAGAGTGATCTACGAAATCAGAGAATAGGTTCGGGAGTCGGTTGAGTGTGGGGAAAGTGTTAGGTACCCCACAATACCCGTTCGTGAGAATGGTTACTTGAAGTTTGTTGTGCTCTATTAATATGGTTTTAAAATTATTTTAATTATCCCTTTTATATTCATGTGTCTGATATAAAAATGATGATAATTGAGTGAGAAATGTTTATTTATTTACGAGGGAGGACGGACTTGACTCAGAATCTGACTCTGAGGCCTACGTACCCTGTGATGGGGATCAAAGTCCACATAGTTCGAGCTTAAAAATTTATTGGTAAAAATATATTTTTTTGAAGAGAAATTAATTAGAAATAATTCACCATTTTGCAAGTAAAACCATTTCTGAAATTTTGATATGTGTGTTTTAAATTACAAAAGGTAATTTAATTTTAATTATTTTTTTCATTTTTGAATTTTTGGAATAAAGAAAGGAAAGGGTTTAAAATTATTTTTCTTTATGATTGAGGATTTAATCGCAGTACCTGCAAAACCTAATTGGTTCATACGATAATGCAATTGCTCTAAATATCTACGGAGATTCTAAAATCTCACACGATAAAAGAGTTTGGCAATTTAATTTATTTATTTATATTCTTATGTATATTTTTAAGTGTTAATAATAATTTCACTTAAGTATGTATATATGTTTTTAAAGAATTTTAATCATCATACCTGTATAGCCTTATTGGCTTATACGGTAATATGATTTATCCTAAATATCTGTGGAGATTCTAAAATCTCACACGATAAAGGAATTAAATTTAATTAATTGATTTAATTAATTATATAATATATATGTATGTATATATATTTTAAAAACTAAATCATTATATCTGCAAAGTCTTATTGACTCACACGATAATAGGATGATCTTAGAAGCCTACGGAGATTTCAAAAATCTCACATGAGTAAAAGATATAATCAGTAAATATGGTTACAAGTTAAATGCATTAATTTGATTAATTAGTTTTTAAATTGCGAATTATATGATTATTTAAAAAATAAAAATTGAGAATCACTATATCTGCGAGGACTTATTATCCCACATGATAATGTGATTAATTTAAGTCCCTATGAAGATTTTTAAAATCCCACATGGAACTTAAATGGGTTATTTAGATTATAAAAAGATAGTTAGTTTTAACGGTTGGTCATTGAAACCATTGATTATACATATAAATTGGATCTCTATACCTGCGAAATCTTATTGATTTACACAGTATGAGACCACTTTAAATGTTACAAAAATTCTTAAAATCTCATACGACAAGTAAATGATTAGAGATGAATGTTTCTCTTATTCATTTCATTTTTTTTGAAATTGGGTAAGAATCGAATTCTCTAAATTCTGCTTTTTATAAAATAGGCTTGTCATAATAAATGAAATCATACATGTAATCGTGATGGAGAATGCCATATGATATGAGTGTAGTAATATTAATGACAAGTAAAGGACCTTAGCACTAATGGAGATAAAGAAATAATGCTCATACATGTTAATATACATATTTAAAGACCTCACTTAATAATTACACTGATTCTCTATTTGAAATGAAATTGTGCCTAATAATCAAATTTAGCTTAGCTATG